AGTACTTTTAAATAAAGGATGCACTCCTTTTTGCAGTAGTTAATGTACTACTTTTTTTTAAAATAAATTCCCATAGTAGTCAGCTTCAGTCACTACATCTCAGCTATCAAGATCTTTTGTTTTATAAGGAAATGTAACTAGAGCAGGACAGCTGATTCCAGCCAAGAAGCCTTTCTGTTATATACCTATTTATAGGAATGATTCTAATAGCAAGTATTGCACAACTTGTTTGAAATGGCCTCTTATAGCTACTGTGTTGTTTTTCTAGTACTTACTCTTGATGTCCATATTTGTAAATTTTTGAACAGCTCATAACAATTACAAAAGCCAGTAATTTGTTCTTTGTACTGCTGCAAGGTAAGTGTTAGATTCCCCACCATCTGTATAATTCATTTCCTTTAGACTGTAAGACATCTGAAAATATTTTATCTCACACTGGGGGCTTTATTCTTCTACAGAAAAAAAAGGCACTAAAGTACTAAACTGAGGTAAACTGTGTCTGTGTAACAGTCACCTCCCTCCTGAGCTGGCAAAGCACAAATCTTACAGGCCCTCCCCCCCCCCCCCCATTTTGGACAGCCACCTACTGTGGTAAAGCCTACTCTGGTCAGCTGAGTAGGTAGTCTTTTTATGTGAAACGGACATGTAGAGAGTAGCAGCTACTTGGTTTTGATCAGACAGAGCTATTGCAAGTGTAAGCTACTTCAGGCAGTGTTATTCCCATTTCCTCTGTGAAACGCAACTAGAGACAAAAATGAAATAACAATAAAAGTGTAATAAAGTCAACTCAGTGCAATAGAGACTTTTTTCCCCCCTGGGAACTGCTTAAATAAAGTCAGTAAACCGGCCAAGCATCAGGTAACACAAGCCCAGGCCGCCTGCCTCAGCTGTTCGGACCACCCCAGTGCAGAACAACACCAGCCACCACTCTACTCACCGAGGAGAGCCCCAGGGCCTGCGCCTCCACCCCTTCTGCCACTCGTGAAAAGCCACAGGTTACTCAGAGATGTGCGTGGTTAAGAGGTTGTTCGTAAAAGCCATTCTAATTCTTCTAGTCTTTATAAACACAAAGATGGGATATAAAGCACTAAATACAAACATAAAGACTTTATTGAATGCTGCTCAATTCCCCAAAGGTCTTTCATTACAAAAGTTTTTTCCACACAACTGCAATTTAAGAGATTGGAATGGTACTCTGATAAAAGATGTGAAAAATACTTGATCAAGTAAACAGACAAGACTTCTATTGTCAACTTTCCACCTTTAAGAAACAGACTGCATTTTCTTTAAATAAAACAAGGAACATCCTTTCCTCTTTACTGAAAAACCCCAAAAATAATCCCAATTTTGGTCTAATTCTTTAGTCCATGAGATGCTAAACAATTGCAGAAATGTCCAAGACAGTCTCTGAGACCTGCACTGCTCTGCAGGGAGGCTTTGGGCTGATGGGGAGCATCATTGATGGGCCCTCTGGAGGAAGCTCCATCCTCAGCTGCAACAGGAGGAAATCTCCAAGTAGCCCAGGACCAAGAGGCAGCAAGAATGAGGCTGAGGCACTCACCAAGTGGTAGGTGAACCCCAACCCCTTCAAGCCAACTTGCTCTCCCTACTTTGCCTCATTCTAACATGAGCATTACAGAAATCTGAATCTGACCAGGAATTCAAGGACAGCACCATATCTGAGTTCCTTTCAGTGCTGTAAGGGGCACATACTGAGTATCTGAAGTTACTGGTAACATACCTTGGTTTCATTTGAGAAAATACAGCACAACTAGAAGCCTTTTCTATCATCTTAACCGAAGTATGCAGCGATGTGAAAAGCACATACAAAACAAGGAAAAAAAAATGTACATAGCAAACTATACCACCTATGTGCAACACAATCAAAAATTCAAGTCATAATTCTCACCACTCCCATAATTATTTCACTCATTAAGGATGATAATTCAGTTCTATGAAACATTGGAAGTGACAGTATATCAATAATTAGACAAATTTACAATATGCTGTGGTAATGACATCACTTAACTGCTGTATTTAAATTCAAATCTTTACATTTGCCAGAGAAAAAATTGGCTGTTTCTATCATACTGATGAGGTTTATTTTGCAAATCCTTATATATTTCAAAAGGGTACAAAAAAGTACATCTGCCAAGTAGACATTTTTTTTAGGTGGTCATTTCTTTTATTTGGCACTTGTATTGTGTGCATTTAGCACATTGTGAGTGCTGTTTTGCTTTTCTGCCATAGCCTTCTTAAGCTTTAACTCCTCAAGCTTTCTCCACAACTCTTCACGTTCCAATTCTTTCTTCTTCTCTCTGTAGAAAAGAGTGAATCATCAGTTTCAGATGTGTTTTAAGTGCAATGTGGAGACACAGTTACTGAACAACTGTGATTTACATCTAGTAATTCTTCTTGTAAGTTTTTCTCCAAAGCTAATTTTAGAGGCAATTACAATTTCCTGTATTAAAAAAGTGAGCAAATTAGTAACGGTTCATGGCAAAACTGTAGCTTTGCTCTAACAAACTCAGATAACTGCTGTAGCATGACTTCGCACAAGCAACTGCAATTCTAAAGAAGTTTATCACATGCAAACAAACGAAGGGTCGAAGCATCTCTGGGGGAGAAAAACACAGCTCCTGAAAGGAGACTCAGCATGTGGTCTCAGCTGGCCTAGGATCATCCAGGCCCTGCCTCCCTTCCTCCAGCCCTAAGGCTTGGTGGGTTAGTAGGGCAAGAGAGAGGCTTTAGCTGAGCTCTGAAGTGTTCCCCAGCTCGGCTTTCTTCCCACAACACCCCCGAAGCCTCAGAGCCAGCACCAGGCAGCCCCTCGCAGCCGCAGCTGAGCCCCGTTTCCCCACCGAGGAGAGGGCGCCGCTCCCTGCCCAGGCAGGACGGGGAGCTGGGGCCTTCCTGCCGTCTCCCCAGGCTTCAGCCCCCCCACACCCCGACAGCCTGCCTGGGCGCTTCACCCCCGGGACATGCGCCAGCCAACAGCAAATACTACAGAACCCCAGAGCCACAACAGTTCAGTTTTGTTTCTTTTCAGCTGATACATTTCAGATATGTGTTCATCAACGTGCAGTGAAAGGAGCAGCAGTACCTTTGCCTTTCTGCTTTATACGAGCTTGTAAGTTCATCAAAAAGCTTGCCATTCATTTCCATCAGGGTTTTCAGCACGTTATACACCAGTGCCACAATGGTTCTAGGACAGAAGGAACACAACCATTAGAATCACTCAACACAAAATTAATTTTGGTCACCAAGTGTTCACTTTCTTTCTTGTACTCTGAGCTTCTTATTTAAGATACTACTGTAAGGTCAGTGAGTTTCTGAAACAAAATCCTTTACTATAACTTCCCCTGTAAATTAATAAAATGCATATTTAAACATTTTTTGAAATAGCTATTTAACCTTAAATTCCTGACTCTTCTAACTGCACAGGATATAATTATTAGTACTGTGGCTGTACTATAAAGCCATTCAATTATGCTAACGTTTAATAAACCGAGTTTTAACAATTTTGTAATATTTGAGTAATGAAATACGAGAGTCTAGAAAAATAAAGACTTCTGGCTAATATCTTCAAGACTGGGCAGCAGAAGAATGCAGCAGAGGAACCACAGGCACATGGTTTAATACAGCTTCTAAGAGCTCTACCAAAAGCATTTCTGGGCAGCAGATCAGTTTTGCTGCATATGCCCTGTTAGAGAACTGAATTGAGAACCTCAATTGATGGTTTCTGGTACCTCAGTTTAAGAAACTGAACAGCTTGAGCAATACTGGCTGTGCCTTAGGTGACTGACTGTATTTCCACATTAGGTATTATTCTTCTTTTTGTGAGAATATTGTTATTTCTATAATTATCTTCCAAATACCAAGCTGTTTTATCTACTTTGAACTCAATTATACAAAGAAATGCAAAAATAGCAATAAAATTGAATATTAAAAAGGTGCCTATCATGAAGCTTATTGCTAATCAAAAAATAAGGTAAACCATCCTCCCTATCTTTCCCCCCACTAGCAGCAGTTCAGTTCCCCTCCAGGCAGCAGCACTGACTGTCAGTCTGTAGGGCAGGGTGCTGTACAGTCTCATGACCTTGAACAACGAGTGAAAGAAAAATCTAAAAGAAGTAACCAAAGGACCAGGTTTATCTTTTCAGTATGCTCTGTGAGCTGTGGCACTCCCTCTATTTATTAGAGGCCTTATGCTCATCCAAAATGCACAGTGCGCTTAGCCTGCTGTCTACACACCTTTGGGTTTGGGTTCTTTTTTGAACACTGGCTTTCACATGGTTTGAAGACAAAAGTTTATCCAGAGTTTTGGTTTTCTGAGAGGAAAAGCTTGATTTTGAGCGAGTAGTTAACTTCACATGGGACAGCTAGGTGGATATCAGCACGTTTCTCTGCCCTCCAGAACAGATTAAAAAACCCAAAGGGTTAGACTTTCTTCCCCAAGCCTCCTTGTCCTCAAAGTATACAATTATCCTGTGTCTTTCACCTCCTTCATAAAGAGCAACTTCTGTCTGCAGCGAGAGAAAGAATGACATCCTGCAAACTTGTTGAGGCCCCAAGTACTATTACTGCTCCAAGAACTTTATCTCCAGAGTTTATATTCAGTCTCAGCTGATACTTTTGCAACTAAACACACTGTCTAGGTAAATTCAGAATAATTTCAGAGCCTCTACAGACTTCAAACAGGACATCTGCTTTACTTCAAAGTTGTGGGAGGCTCCTGCCTACTCTGGCTTTTGCCTGTATGAGCTTTTACATTCTACAAATTGACTTGCAACTCAATTCAGGATGCTAGACACAAGCAAACTTTGTTTTTTAGTATTTCAGTATAATTCTCGCTTCTTTCAAACATAATAAAAAGATACTAATATTTAACTTGTGACATTAAATATAAAATGAAGTAGTCGCTCATCTCCCATTCCTACCATCCT